CTCGTGTAGCTTTGCGCGAAATTCAAAAACAAACAAACAATGCAGGCTGTTTTGTTGTTGTTTTTTTGGCCGCAAGACACGCAACTGTGTGTCTCGATCTTGTGAAAAGTGTGTGATTATCAATAGAACTGTTTGTGAATGTGCAGGACTTTCTCGCAAACCTAACGTAAGTGAAGTGACAATAACACATTAAATGTTCCAAGGAAAGGTGTCAAAAGGAGTACTCGGACGAAATTTAACATTTTCCCAAAGAATAAACAAAATAAGTGAAATAAAATTAAAACTATCGTACAGGGGGTAAGGGGGTATCGTTGTACCTGACCTCCCATGACTTCGACCAAAACACCCATACAGAACTTTCGTTCGTTCGGGGTAGTTATCAAATTAATTGATCGGTACAATGGGGTTTCTGTGAATCATGAGTGGGTGAGAGGTTTTTAACTCTACAGCGAGTGTGAGTATTTTAGGTTAGTTTCTTATTAAAAACTGTAATACAACTTTAGCTAAAGTACATAGTAAAATACGGGGACCGTATCGTCGAACTTGGAATAAAACCAGTTAAAGTTGTTTACTAAGTAATGTTTACTCTATATTGATAAAACGCGTAACTCAAATCTTAGATTAACATCCGGTTCGTCTGTTCTAAGGTTTTGTAGTTATTGTAACTAAAATTAACGCACATTAAAGCATGAAATCCACTTTTCCATCACAAATTTTTACGATTATCGTTACCATATATAACACAAGTCCAAAAATCGTACACACACCGAATTACTCTGATCTACATTATGACATATTTCTCCGTAATTGGATCAATTTTTTTTATTATACATGCTTGTCGATATCTTATTTACAGCTGTGTTAGAACTGTACATACGACTCATTAATTCACATAAGAGGCTTATTTTTCCGCTAGTGTAGTACTTGTTATATTTAGCAGTTCTTTGAATTGATAAGATTAATACTGAGCATATTGTCATCCGAAGAGTGTGTGAATATTGTACTATTTTGAAAACTGGACTTCAAGAAACATACAAAGTGAGTTTTATATGAACTAAAATATGACATTTCGTATGGAGAATACAATGATTACAAAAACATGTTTCCCAGATTCACGAGTTTTATGTATATAGTTTGTTGAGAAAACTGCATTGCATGTCTGTACTATGCTGAAAGGCACGTGTGTAGTTTGTTGACGAGACTGCATGTCTGTACTATGCTGAAAGGCACGTGTGTAGTTTGTTGACGAGACTGCATGTCTGTACTATGCTGAAAGGCACGTGTGTAGTTTGTTGACGAGATTGCATGTCTGTACAATTCTGAAAGGCACGTGTGTAGTTTGTTGACGAGACTGCATGTCTGTACTATGCTGAAAGGCACGTGTGTAGTTTGTTGACGAGACTGCATGTCTGTACTATGCTGAAAGGCACGTGTGTAGTTTGTTGACGAGACTGCATGTCTGTACAATTCTGAAAGGCACGTGTGTAATTTGTTAACGAGACTGCATGTCCGTACTATGCTGATAATACTATCTGTGGTGTACTAATGAGATCCTGAAGTCTGTTGATGTTATCGTCCAGTTAACTGATAAGACTGTCGTAATTTATTTACAAAATAATCTGTAAATTACTGATAAAAGGGTCAGTGGTTTGATGTTAACACCCTCTGTAGTTTGTATAAACCTAGCGTAATTAGTTAGCTAGACCATAAGATCATCTATAGTTAGTTGATACATTTGTGTAGTTAATTAGTTAAACCTTAAAGTCATCTGTAATTAGTTAATAAGATCATTTTCTAGCTTATTGGTTAGACCATAAGATCATCTGTGGTTAGTCGATAAAACAGTTAGAAGTTTGTCGATAAAACCCTCTGTGGTTTATGTATAAACCATAGCGTAGTTAGTTATACCATAAGATTATTTGTAGTTAGCTAACAAAACTTTTTGTAGTTATTTAATTAGATCATAAGATCATCTACAAGTAGTTGATAAACCTTTTGTAGTTAGTTAGTTAGACCATGAGATCACTTGTAATCAGTTTATAAGACATTTGGTAATTAATTAGTTAGACCATAAGATCGTCTGTAGTTAGTTGACAATACCTTTTGTAGTTAGTTAGTTAGACCATAAAATCATCTATAGTTAGTTAATAAGACATTTTGTAGTTTGTTAGTTAGACCATGAGGTCATTTGTAGTTAGTTAGTTAAACAATAAAATAATCTGTAGTTAGTTGATAAGACCTTTTGTAGTTAGTTAGACCATAATATCATTTGTAGTTAGTTGGTATGACCTATAATAGTTTGTTGATAAAACCCTCTGTGGTTTGTGGATAAAACTGTTATAGGCTTTGTAGATAAAAATAATAATTCTGTAATTAATTGATAAGACTCTCTGTAGTTATATGATATCATTTCTAGTTTGTTGTGACAACGCTCTGTTGGTTACACTTACTGTCCGTAGTTAATTTACCGTCTATACTTTATAGATATGACCGCCAAGACCGTCTGTGGTTTATTCTCAAGTCATTTCATACATTTTTACGACCCTCAGTTACAGACTATCATCAAAACGACCGATGATTGTTCCTAATGACAGTTACAGTCAGCTGATAAGAATTTCTCTTGTTAAACAAGACCATTTGTATTATCTGTAGTTTGTTGTAAAAGGTTGCCTATAATTTGTTGGCAAGACTCAAAATGTTGTACTATATTTAACATTACATGTTTTTTCTTGAAACGGCCAAAAAGTGAAAAAGAACTCCGGGGCCTCTGACAAACAGTACAAGTGCTCTATCACTGAGATATATTTCCCTTTTCGGTTTCTTCACGTCAAATGTAATGTTAAGTATTCTCCTTTTACAGTTTCCCAACAGAATTTAAAAATAAATGTAAGTTTATGATAGGCTTCATTCAGATTGGTTGGGTGTGCCTGTTCATAACGTAGTATTGTGATTCCTACCTATAATAAAGAGCTCTATAAGTGAACATTGGCGGGAATGGCTCCAACCTCTGCATTACAATATGATAAAGGAACAAAAATAATTAGGGAATGATTAAGAAAGTTGTTTTGTTTTTAGAAATTGTATATTGCACGTAATTTCGTTATATTTTAAGCATACACTCACCAAAATATTTGTTGTTTTCTAATACAAAGCTACACAATAGCATATCTGCTTTTTGTCCACAGAAGCAATTGAATATTTTTGAGGAAATTTTACAATTGCTTCAGGATTTTTGCTAATTGAAATAATTGAAAATAATTTAAGAATAAAGTTATACCATGTAGAAAAGAGGCGCCAAGAAGACGCCTGTAGGGGAGAAAAAGACCAGGAACTAGGAAGTTCGAGTTAGCAAGGTTAGTGGCATAGTTGCGTAAAGGCTTCGCCTAGCATCGAAGTGCACGAGTACCAATGACAGGTTGCTGGGTTACTGACGCTAACTCGCTAGCATTAGGAAAGCTACGATAAAGTCGTAGTTAGCAAGCAAAAGCGGTACTTTGAGGTGATATCGCTTAAAGAACATGGTTGTAGCAGAACATGTAAATAGGCAACCAGCTAACCCAACAAAACAGTAACCAATTACTTAAAAGTTTTGGTTATGGTTTTGGATTAGCCCAGGAATTCCCCTAAAGCAACCAATAGAATGGGCTACTTGCAGGTAGTGCTGGATACTATTTGGGAGGTTGAGAGAATAATAAGAAATTATGGTATATAAACCCGTGTCTGGAGCTGAGAAGCCAGTTGCTCCAGAATTCAAAAAGTTCCTCTAGAAGTTTTGAAGTTTCACTGGCAGAAGTTTTCGAGCTATGAAGGTTTTTAAAATCAGCATGTTTACCAATCCAACTCTATTGTAAGTAAAGTTTATGGTTTCTCTCTTAATCAGTTAGTGTAAGTAACTTTAAAGGAATATTATGTTAAACTAAGAAGAAGTATATCTATGTGTAATGCTGGAAATTCTATATTAACGACGTTCAAAGTGTATAACGATTAACAGCATTTGAGAAGTGTTTAATGTTTAACAAAGTTTTTATTTATATTAGATGTTAGTTAGAAATGATTAATAAATGTTGTTATAATTGTTCAATGCTGGTCTGGGACTCTGTTTCTTTATTCTAACTGTAAATTACCTTGAGTTAGTGACTTGTGGCTCCACTCGTCACGACAAATCCTCCAAATAAATAAATTTGGTGTAAAGAGCAGTTTTAATTGAAACTCCAACAATTAAGCCTACGAGGACGCTACTCGTTACACCACCGTGGGGAATCTAACCCAAATTTCAGGTTGCAAGTCAGTAAATTTACTGCTGATCCCACCAGGGGACCACAACAAAGTAGAGAGACTTCATTTTGTAAGCTCTCTTTTCCTAATGTTAATCAAGGAAGCAAAATATAATTACAGCATGAATTGGAAAACGTTTTATTTCCTCGTTGTGTTATAAATACACAGCATGGTCACAAGTAAATAGACACCACCTTTTCAGAACAAAATTAAAATTTCAGTCATATTCACATGAATTGATATATCTATAATTTAATTAATATCTAGTAGATCTTCCTTTCGCTTTGTGGAGTTCGTTGATCCTTTGGGGCATCGTGAGAATCATCTCGTCAG